TGGAAAGAGGGTGGGGCGCCTGAATGAAGATTGGGGGGGGAATCCTTCCGGACTGTAAATAAACAGCGGGTCGGAGAGGCTCTGGCGGGAGCGGGGCGCGCCAGCAAAACCAGGAGCGGGGACGCTTGTGAGAGGAGGAAGACCACTTCCCAATAAAATGGGTATGCAGGTGCTCTGAGTAACCTGAGTCACATTCTTTTGGGTAACCAAGAGTGGTATTGCTGGATATATGGTATCAATGTTTTAGCTTTTAAGTAGCCTCAAATTTTTTCCAGAGTGGTTGTACTAGTTTACATTCCCACCAGCAGTATAAGAGGGTTCTTTTCCCCGAATCTCGCAACACCTGTGTCAGTGGTGTTGCTAATAATGGCTATTCTAATAGGGGTGAGGTGGAATCTTAGTGTGGTTTTAATTTGCATTTCCTTTATTGCTAGAGATGGTGAGCATTTTTTCATGTGTTTTTTGACCATTTGAATTTCTTCTTTTGAGAAAGTTCTGTTTAGTTCACTTTTTTGTCTTTAGTTTAGAGGAAAAAGTGAACTACAGTTCATTAACATTGAAATTACTGCTGATAAAAGACACCATTAAGAGAAGAAATAGGGAAGCAGTACATAAACCTGAAAAGGGTTTGTGTCATATATACGTATATATTTATACATTATTTATGAAAAACTCAAAACAAAAAAGAACTGTTTAGTTCACTTGCCCATTTCTTTATTGGTTCATTAATTTTGGGAGAATTTAGTTTTTTAAGTTCCCTGTATATTCTGGTTATCAGTCCTTTGTCTGATGTGTAGCTGGCAAATATTTTCTCCCACTCTGAGGGTGGTCTCTTCAGTTTAGAGACCATTTCTTTTGTTTGAGCCAAAACTGCTTAGTTTTATGAAGTCCCATTTATCTATGCTATCTCTTTTTTGCTGTGCTGCTGGGGTTCCATTGAGAAAGTTCTTGCCCATACCTGTTAATTCCGGAGTATTTCCTACTCTTTCCTGTACCAACTTTAGAGTTTGGAGTCTGATATTAAGATCCTTGATCATTTTGAGTTAATTTGTATAGGGTGATATACAGGATCTAGTTTCAGTTTTTTGCAGACTCTAACCAGTTTTCCAGCAGTTTTTTGTTGAAGAGGCTGCTATTTCTCTCATCGTATATGTTTTAGTGCTTTGTCAAAGACAAGTTGGTTATAGTGTGTGGCTCATATCTGGGTCTCTATTCTGTTCCTTGGTCTTCAGGTCTGTTTTTTGTGGCAGTACATGCTGTTTTATTGTATTTGCTTTGTAATATAGTTTGAAGTCGAGTATCGTGAACCTCCAGCATTTTTCTTTTTGACTGAGTATTGCCTTGGCTATTTGTGGCCTCTGTGTTTCATATAAGTTTAAGGGTAGATTTCAACCTCTTTAAATGAATACATGGATTTTGATGGGAATTGCATTAAACATGTAGATACTTTTGGAGTATAGACATTTTACTATGCTGATTCTACAATCCATGAGCATGGAGATCTTCACTTTATAGTCTTCTCCATCTTTCTTCAGAAGTTATAGTTTTCCTTGAGAGGTCGTTCACATCCTTTGTTAGGTTTAACACCTAGGTATTTTTTTTTTGATGCTATTGTAAATGGATTGTTTCATATATTCTTTCTCAGTTTGTTCATTATTAGTGTATAGAAATGCTAATAATTTTTCTATGTTGATTTTATATCCTGCTACCTTGCTATAGCTATTGATGGTGTCTAGGAGTTTTGGGTAGAGTTTTTTGGGTCTTTAAGGTATAGGATCGTATCGTCTGCGAATAGGGATATTTTGACAGTTTCTTTACCTATTTGTATTCCTTTTTTTCCTTCTTCTTGCCTAATTGCTGTGGCTAGGAATTCCGGTACTATGTTGAATAGGAGTGGTGATAGTGGGCATCCTTGTCTAGTTCTGATTTTAGAGGGAATGGTTTCAGTTTTCTAGAGGTTCTTTGTATATTTATAATTTAATGGTATTTCCCAGAGAAGTTAAGAAACTTGCATAACTTGTTTAGCCAGTTAGAAACTGAGCCATCTTTCAAAACCAGATCTGACTTAAATGTATGCCTCTGGTTAATGCAACACTAGGGACTCTTGTTGCAGTGCTGGAGATTAACCCAGGGCCTTTACCACTAACGTATATCCCCAGTTTTTAATCTAAAGGGCTTGGATCTTCCTGTGTCTCTTTTTCATTTGTTTGATTATCCCTTTTGTTTGTCTGTTTTTCTATTTTAAAATCATTTTATCCAGGTGGAATTTACATAATTCACCAGTTGTAAGTGAAGAAGTCAAATGAGTTTTATATAGTATACAGTAATATAAGTTTCCATAGCAGATATGATAGACAATATTTCCATCCCTCAAAAATTTCCCTCATGTCTTTTTTAACAGTCAATCTTCACCTTTACCTCTGGCCTGCCAAAGGCCAGTCTGCTTTCTATAATTGATGGTTTTGCCTTTCCTGGAATTTAATATGCACAGAAATGCAGTGCATATAGCCTTTTGTATTTGACAGCTTTCATTTCTTTCACTTCTTTCATTTTCTCTCACTGCTTTTGAGACTGATCTATGTTGTTGGACATACTCATAGTGTTTTCATTTTTATTGCTAGTGCTCAACTATATGGGCATACTGCAGTTTATTCATTTATCCACTAAAGGACACTTTAGATTATCTCCAGTTTGGGTCACTAGGTGTAGAGCTACTATGAAGATTCAAGCTCAAGGCTTTATGTGCATTTGTTTTCATTTCTCTTGCCTGTCAGAATGGAATTATTGGGTTATATGATAAGTGTGTGTGCTTAATGTTACAAGAAACTGCTAAAATGTTCCCATAGTATCTGTACCATTTTGCACTCCCACCATCAATGGGAAGTTGGTTTGTTTTACATCCTTTGTCCAACTGTTGGCATCTTGGATCTTTAATTTTAGCATTTAGTAGGTATGTAGTGAAATGTATTTGTTTTAGATCGCATTTCTCTGATGACTGATAATGTTGACGTTTTCAAGTGCTTATTTGCCGTGTGTATATCTTGTTTTGTAAAGTATCTGATTCAATCACCCTCCTCACATACTTTTTTAAAGTCAGTTCTCTCCCTATTAGTTTTAAGAGATAATATAACTCCATTATCAAATAAATTCTTTAGGTATTCTGTCCTGGTCTGTAACTTATCTTTTGAACAATAAAATTTTTGATGTAATGTCCAGTTTATCTTTTCTAATGATTCATGACCCACAGGGACCCTTCTAGATAGCTCTGCAGCTCTGTTTGGTTTCTTCCTCTTCAGTACTTGACGATTCTAGCCACTTTGTGTACACACACACACACAATTCTTCCTCTTCAGTACTTGACGATTCTAGCCACTTTGTGTACACACACACCACACACACACACAGTCACACTCCCTAGTTCTCACTTTCTTTATCTTTCTCTCTCTTTCCCTCCCTCTTCCCCCTAATTCAGGCAGATGCCCTCCCTCACCTACTCCCAAATCTGATTCGGTTCTCTTTTTATGTGCTGTTGCCTTGAAGTTCCCACCATGCAGTAAGCTGCTGTCAGAGAATTACCACAGTCTTGAGCTGCTTTAACTGTTACTAAGACTTTGTTAATAACTGTGCCAATAAAGCTGTTTATTTAAAAGTTGTCAGTGTCTTTGCAGGTATAAATAGTTTACTAGTTTTAAAAGAACATAAGCTTTAAAGTTCATTAGTTCAGATCTCAAAACTATAAAATATTCATGGCCCTGGGAGCATGATTGTCCAGAGAGCTAGAGAAGTTACCAGACAGAAGAAGAATATCATTTATTTTTCATCTTTTAAATCAGAGTTCAGGCACTTGGGTGGCATGCTACTTATGAAGTATTCTCACCAAGGAGAATCAAGTCTTAGATATAAAGACAAACATTGTTAATGTAGGTCATGTTTCTGTGCTACAGTTCTTTAGCATGTGAGCAAATAAAATTTAATGAGGAGCTAAAGTCGCAGGTGCTTGGTATGTTTCATGAAAAACTGCTGACATTATTGACATCTGTTCAGTTTTGTGTAAGTTTTTCTTCATTGGCAAAGACAAAGGCTATTTTCTTATAGACTGTTTGAATCTCTGGCCTTTGGTGGTCTTTTTTCGTACTGAGTTGATTGCTGAGTACATTCTTATACCATTTGCCCCTAGAAAAACCCCAACTAAGGAACTTCTCTTTTCCATTTAAGAACTGGCATGTTGGCTTCATACCAAAGGAGCAATTAAAGCAGCACTTTTTGTATCCAGCTTTTGTAATGGGAGCACTTTATCTCCTTCTCTTGAGATTAACTTGAATATTTTTCTATAGGAAACTGATTTTGAGTAACATATTTTCCCTCTTACAAATGGAGAGGTTACTAAGCTGCATTTCTTTGCAATAAAATAGGGAGGATAAGTGTACAGAATAAAATAGGATGCTTTTCTTTCATCTTCCATTGCCCCCTTTATACTTGCTTTTTTTTGTCTATTTTTATTAGCATATATCAATGGTACAACATAATGGATTTCATTACATTTTCATACACATATGTAATGTACTTTATCATTCAACCTCCCGTTACCCTCTTTTGTCCCTCTTTTTTTGGGGGGAGTGGTATGAGGTTTGTACTTAAGGCCTCACACTTGCTGGGGCTGTACTACTTGAGCCACTCCACCAGTCCCTCCTTTTGATGGTCCCTCCCTCTTCCAAAATAGTCCCTCCTCTACTTTCATACCATCAGGTATGTTTTGTTTGGGGCAGGGTGGGGGAGGGGTTATCTAGATTCTGCATATAATGGCAAACATGATTTTTGTCTTTCCCAGTCTGACATCATATTAACCCTGAAGAGGGAGTAACTATGAGTGTGCATATATATATGTGTGTCTTTGCAGCATTTTAATGCGTGTAAATGAAGAGTCCGTGTCGTATAAAAACTCCAGCAATTATTTACATTATTGACCCTCCTAAGCCCTCTCTTCCCTTCTGTTTCCATAGGAGTCTCCCCAGGACAGTGCTATCACCCGGGATATTAACCGGACATTTCCAGCCCATGACTACTTCAAGGACACAGGAGGAGATGGACAAGACTCCTTATATAAAATATGCAAGGTATTTCATGTGCAAAAAAGATTGAATTTTGAATGATGCTTTTGGTTCTTTGAAATTATATAAAACTATGAAGTGTAATTTGTATTTGCTGCTTAAGAATGCAAAAAAATGAGAAAGACAACTGTAAAATAAAAAATAACATAATTTAAGATTCATTAAGTAAAATGGCAGAGGATATTTTTCCCCCTTTTAATTAGGATTTTCAGATGACAGTCCCCTTATTCCACATTTAGACTCAAAAACCAGTTCAATGTTAAGTCTCAAATTCCTATAACATGGCAAACTACTTTTCAGTATTCACAATGTAAGTGCTAAAATTGGCACCTTGATATAGTCCCAACAGTGGGAAGTGCCAGGGCTCATCCAGATGGATTTATAGCACTGTGGCTTAATAAATGATGTAAATACTGTTTTTTGTCAAAAGATGTGTGCCTAAACACGTTAAAAGAAATGATAGCCTGTTCAATCTCAATAATCCAGTTTTAATCAATTTTGGTACATTGGAACTATAGATCTAAAAGAAGTCAGATCAACCTTAACCTGACCTCAGAATTGGTTTTTAGTCTTTTTCCCCTCAGAATTAATCAAGTACTTATTTAACATCTATTATGTAGTAAATAGAGGCAAGGCATGACACATATCCTTAAGGAACATAACATTTTGTGATTTTTTTCCCCCATCCCGTGTCTCCCCATTCAGAGGGCCTGGGCTGAGGTGCAGTTGGGTAGGTATACTTTGCCTCCTCTTCCTGTACAGTCAGTGTAAGAACACAGCCTGTGGTAAGCACCAGTAAGCCTGTGTTTTATGAGTGAGAAGGCAAAGCTAAAAACTAATTTTAGGGTGGGCCAGCAATAAAGGATGGCCTTTCTAATGAGAAATTAGACGATTTGAACTCTAAAGGTAATTGGAGTTCAGAGAAATGTTTCTTGGGTTAAATCTTAATTTTTCGCTATGATTTTGCCATTCGTCATCCTAATACCAATTTGCCAGAAAGAAACTCTGTAATCATTGTCTATGGGTCCCTCATTGCGTTCCTGCACTCCATTTCCTCTCAGTGGATTTCCCTATAATTCTTTTCTGCCCTTGACTTTCAGAGATTATATTCACCTGTCCCAACTTCACCAACTCCATTATTTTCTCTCTGTCTGCCTGAGCCTGCAACAGAGGTCTTCCCATAGTACTCAGTTGTTAGTTCCTCCAGCTCGACAGCTCTCACCACTGCACAGGTATTTCCAACTCTGTATTAGCTCAAGATCTGAGTTCCTGCTGCCAGATTGTCTCCATGTCACTCTTATCAAGTACATGAAACAAAATGGGTCTAAAAAGAGAATTCATTTGAAAACATGTTTAATTATAAAAAATTTCAAGCACACACAAAATTTAATTAGTGTAATAATTTTTGTATATGTCCCCACACTGACCCAATATTTCTCAACATTTTGCCACAGTTGCTTCACCTATCCCTTTTCCTAAATTACTTTAAAGAAAATCTCAGGCAACAGGACTCTTTACTGTGCATCTCTAAAAAATAAGATTACTGTCCATCTATACCATCTAGTACCCAAATCTATGTTCATGTTCCCTAAATGCCTTTACAATGAATGGTTAGAATCAGGATCCAACAAAATCCACTTTATATCTAACTGTTGTATCTTTTTTGCCTAAAAGCAGGCCTCCTTTTTTTCACCCTATGCTACTGTCTTGCTGAAGATAGAATTATTTTTGTTTTCAGCTCATTTCTTTACCCAGGTTGTTTGATGTGATTGAGTATCTTACAGCTGTACTTTCCTCTTGATGTTCACTGCCCTGATACAGGTGTCTATGTTATGTTGCTGCCATTTTTATAAAAGCTACCTTGAATTTGCCTTTCTGATTTTGGGTTTCAATTTGGATTTTATTTGGTCCATATTTATTTATTTATTTACGTATTTATTCATTTCTGTCACCTCCGCAAAGAACCTATGATATTACCTCATAACCCAATAAAATGAAATAAAAACAGTTAATTTTTTAGTATTGAAAGTATGTAATATTTCCTGGCTTATCCCTTGCCACTTCTTCCCCAAATCAGTTTTCTCACTGGACTCTGATTGATTTACTTGTCTAACATTCAGCATTGAGCTATGAAGTTCTCCAGGACAAGAGTCATTTTTTATACATGCAATTTCACCTGGCTGCATAATCAAACTGTGCTGAGCACATTACATTGCCTATTATTACATAATAAGTTAACTTTATGATATTAACATAATGGATCTAAAAATATTTTTATCTTACAAATAAAGAATAAAAATAATACACACAAAATCCTGCCCAACTCAGATGAACTCAAGCTTCTTTTTGTAACCAAAATACTACTAATTTATACCTAAAAAAGTCATTACCAAAATGTTTTCAAAGACCTGTGTTGGCATGTATTACTACTAGTTTTTAATACAATTTTAACAGTATTGGCATTTGTTATTAATTTGAGAAGAAGTTTTATCAGAAATGAATTTATAAAATGGAATGACATCTTAAATCTGTAGCAGTTCCCTTTTTGCCATTGTTTACATGAGAATGACCAGTACTAATCATAAAAACAGAGCTCTGAAAAACAGCTGACGAGCCAGGGAGTAAACCACCAAGAATGTTAAATGTCAGTATTCTGTTCAAGATAATGTTTAGAGATGGGTAGTAATCGTCTGCTGCCAAGAAAAATACAAACAGCAATTCCAGAGGAACCCACAAATGTTTATTCTAAAACAAATGGTTTTAGAATAAGCACTCTTATCAAAAAAGTTATTACTGACATTATGGAAAGAATTGTATTTTGGCATCTTTGCCGAAAGATTTTTTTCCCAGAAAGAAAAATGAGTAGTATTAACAGTGTTAGTGAGTGTCTACTATGTGTGAGATGCTAGCAAGGTTGAATAGGGCATTACCCCAACAATCAGGAAACTTTTATTCCAGTAGAGAAGAGGACTTTTAAAGTGCAGTGTGCTGAGTACTATAATAAGCTTGCATGTGTAGCAAGTACCACAGAAGTAAAGAGAAGAGAGGAATTAATTCTGGACAAATTGGAGTATGTTGGGAGCTTGAAGGAAGAGTGCATTTCTCAGGAAAGAGGGAATGACATCCCAAGGGTACCATATGATCAATGACAAGGAGCTATTAGAATCTATGTTAGTGCTCAAGTGAGTTTTGCTTATTAACCTTCTCCATTCCTTAACCATGGACATGACATGGTGCCAATTCTGTTTATTGTAAAGAAAAAATGGGGACTGGAGAGAGGTTTAGGTGTCACTCATTGGCCATCAAAATGCCTCAGTGGGGTTTGGGTACCATCCTCCTGGCCCATGAGTCCATACATTCATTTAAGCTCCTTGTTATTTTTTTCTCCTCACCCCCAGGCTTATTCTGTATATGATGAAGAGATTGGCTATTGCCAGGGCCAGTCATTTCTTGCTGCTGTGCTGCTTCTCCATGTGAGTAATTATTTAACAATGACCTTCACTCTCTTAATTTTCAGTCTTCTTTTAAATGCACAGAAATGTCAAAAATGTTAAGGTGAACAACCACACTCAGTACTTTTCACCAAATTTACCAATTACTGATTTCCGGACTGATTTCAGTCTTTGTCTCTTTCTCTGCATCTCTTGCTCTTTTCCTCATTTCCTCACACATACTTTTGTTTTTTATTGGGAAAAAAAAAGTTTGATTTAACTTTTTGAAGAGAAGTAGCAAATATCAAGATACTTCACTCCCAAATACTTGAGCATACATATGTCTTAAAAGGACAAAGGCATTCTTCAACATAACCATAATATCATCATCACATCCAAGAAGTTCCACATTGATTCAATAATGTCTGACATGCAGTCCACATTCAATTTTCCCCCTTTATCTACTTCATAGACTCCATTATGGCCTTTTTTATTTTTTCTGATCATTATCCAGTGAAGATTCAGACAATGCATTTGGTTGTCACTTCTTCTTTATTCCTTTAATCTAAACTACCCTCTTGCCTTTTTTTTTTTTTTTTTTTTTTATGTTTTAGGCCATTGACAGTTTAAAAAAATTCAGGCAAACTATCTTTTAAAATTAAGTTGTATATTATTTTTTCTCATTATTTAAGTTAAAATGTGTAGAAAGAATATTTGAGGGCCATACTGGAGGTCAGAAGTGAATAGAGGATGTAGTCCCTATCTGCATAGACCCTATCTAGTGATTCCACCTAGCTATGAGAAAATAATCATATAAGTGTGTCATTAGTAATTTCAATAGTGTCACAAAGGTAAAATAAGACATTTGATGCAAGAGTATAACAGAAAGCCTCATTAAGATTAAAGCCTCCTCTGGTGAGTTAACTTTTGTAGTGCACCCTGAAAAATGAGAAGGGCTTTCTTTCTCTTTTGTACTTTACAGTGTCATAAACTTTTCCCCTTTTTATATTGTTACAGAGATAATACAATTAGTTTCAAAGCATGAGAGTAGACAGTAGAAAATTGCTGACAAAGTGGATAGTACAGTATATAGACGTTCTAAAATGGAAAGCACCTAAATGTGGAAGGAATTGAAAGAAGAGCAGCAGTGTGACTGTAGTATCCTATATGAAGGGGAGAGGGGAAAGGAGCTAGAGAGAAATAAGGGCCAGCCTTTGAAATGTTTTATGCCATTTAGTGTGGGTTGCAATACAGTTTAAACAAAACCCACCTTGTTTCTCCTTAAGTGTAAAAATATGCTAAAAGTTATGATAGTAATAATGAAGTCTAGCTTTTTAAAATTTTTCTTTTGTTATTTTAGTCAGACTTTATATCATCAATCTCACCTGTAGAGTTTAGCTTTTTTTGCAGCTTCAGTCCAAGGACATTTATCCCATTTAACTATCACACTATCACAACCCCTTGAAAATTCCTGCTGTCTTGTTTGGAACTCTATGCTGCTTGCTACGGTGTTCAGATAAGTGCTTGTTTCAGTGTGAGGGACTACCTAGCATCAGAAACACTGCATAGGTCAAATCATTTCAGGGGACAGTGAAGCTGCCTTCCATGTCAAAGACCAAAAGATCTGGTCTGTTTTTGGCCCCAACTGTCCTTATAATAATATGCTATGGCTTTTTTTACTTTTTCTTTTTCATTGTTTAATCTGATTTGCTGTTTAGCTCAGTGATTTCTGTGCTCTGCCCACCTCCTTCTTCTTCCACAGAAGCTCGCCCACCTTCTTCACTTTTTTGAAGGCTTGCTGCAATCACACCAAGCTTTAAATAACATTGCCAGTGCTTTTCTTCTGTTTTGAAAAGTAGACATCTTGCCAGATTCTTAGGGAAATATTTTTTCCATAAAGCTAGGGACAATGTACATATTATAAATGAGTAGCATTTGTAAGTAGAAGGGAAGTAAGTCTGTGGCACTTTTACCATTACTGCAAAACTTTTAGCTTTACTGCAAGCAATACTATAGTACTTTAAGTGATTACTGAAAGCCTTAGAATGCATAAGGTTTTTCTATAACAAGCTATATTTCTGACAGTAATAGAGAGAAAAACAGTTTTACTAGAATGACATAGCTCAGGGAAGTAAAATGATTGAACAAACACTTCCTGATTTAGAAAAGATGAAACCTATTTGGCATATCAGCCTGTTCCTGACTTCCTGCAGGAGACACAGGCATTGCTGTCCTGTGTTCTCACTAATCCTTTTAACTTGGTTCATAATACAGCTGTTATGTCCTAGCTGTAGGGAAGCTCCTAGAGGACAGCAGCCTTGCTGGCACAGAGGAAGCACCATTAAACATTTCTTGGCTGCGTGAATGAATGTTGTAAAACAAAACTTTAGGCCTGAGTTTCTGCATACCACCACATTTCCTGGTAAGACAATAGAAGGACAATTTAATATACTGAGGGAACTTGTATATATGTTTTGTGATCTCCCCGCTTCCCCCATTGTCTATGTGTTACAGATGCCCGAGGAACAGGCATTTAGTGTTTTGGTCAAGATCATGTTTGACTATGGTCTCAGGGAACTCTTCAAGCAAAACTTTGAAGATTTACATTGCAAATTTTATCAGTTGGAACACCTCATGCAGGTAAAGAGAATTCAGCTTGCATTGAACAAAAATATGCAAGACTAGGGGGAGCTAGATTAAGGACAGGTTTCATTTCTGTTGTTTCTTGCTACATGATGAGCATGCCAAGATTAACAGCATGAACTGAAAATCCAGTCTTATATAAAACACCTAAAAGAACAAATGACTTTGTAGGGACCTTTTTCATATAAAATTCAGTGAAGAAGTACTCACTAAGGCTCTGATTAAGAATCTTAAAGCAAAAGTGAAACAAGTTTTCCCAAACATATTGTACCTTGGAAATAAAAATGGCTTTCCAAATACTTGTCACCAGTTGGAGGATTCATCTTTCTTTAGACTTTGGGATCTAAAAGAGCTAGTGCCAGCTTAATACCAGATGATAAGTGTTCTTCTTAACACTTAGAGATTTTTAGAAAAACTCAAGTATATGGCTTTTTTTTTTTTTTCTGCCTATTGCTGGCAGATTTATGAGCCTCATGAGAGGGACTAGAATAGCTGCATATGTGCCCAGATCTAATTAGTTTGCTATTTCAGGAATACATTCCTGACCTGTACAACCACTTCCTGAACATCAGCCTTGAAGCACACATGTATGCCTCCCAGTGGTTTCTTACGCTTTTCACTGCAAAATTCCCTCTCTACATGGTCTTCCATATCATCGACCTGCTTTTATGTGAGGTATGTATCAGAGGCCACAGCGTTTGGTTTTTGTTTGTAGCATACTTCTTATATCAGCTCTGTCAAAACAGTTGGTCCTTCTCAATTATGTTATCTCAGTGCTGGGAAATCCAAACTGAAGTGGCTTTTCCTAAGACTGATGCTCCTGCTCACATTTGCTACTGGTGCTGTCTGCTAAGAAAAGATACATTCGACATTTGTATCACTTAGTGTTAGATTTGGCTGCATCTAATGAAGAATCTTAATGATGACTAAATAAAATAGAGGTTTCTTTCTCTCTTATGTAGGCAGGCAGAAGGTTGGCAGTAGCCTGCTTCCCAAGAGGTCTTATCCTTAGGTAGAGTAGTGCTCTAGGCCTCATATCTGGCCAGCAAGGTTGGAAGCAGGTGCATCTGTCCGTTCTCCTCTCTCCTCTCGAGAGCAAGGACTGCAGGTATATACCACCATACCCAGCTCTACATCCTCTCTTTTTAAAATTCTCGGAACTTCCACCCAGCATTTCCATGGATTGGCCAGAAGTTAGTTGCATGACCACACCAGCTACAAAGGAGTTTTCCTGTCTCCCCCCAACCCCCCACTTTTTAGCCTGGGTAAGAATTTGCTAAATCTTGGGGAGTTATTACTAAAGAAAAAATTAGATATTAGAGTAAATAACAGTCTTTGTCATGGCATGGTTTTGGATTTTGAGAGGTTACATACATGTTTAAGGAAAAAATAATTATAAAATAATGTTTATTGCAGACATTTTAGAATATATAAGCAAAAAAGAATTGAAAATACTTGTCAAAACTACTTAAAACATTTTTGATCATATCTTTGTGTATAGTTTCTATATAGAATATTATGTTTTCTATCTGGAATATTATGTAATATATTATGGGTCTATATGTACATACTGAAAAATATATGCTATATATACTATTTGTTATCCTTTTCATCTCATATACCTGAATATCTGTATACACACATCTATACTATCCTTTTTGTCAGACTATGTCATGTTGAAAGTATACCATAAAACCATAGGGAGTTCTTATATCTACCATCTATTTTAAGATACATTATAGAAAATAAACATTATCAGTATACCATTATTTTTACTTGCTGCCAAGTACTCCATTATTTGGATGTACCATAGTTTATATAACCTGTAAGCAATGTCTTTTCTCACTATTATAAGCAACCATCTGTTAAGTAGTTACTAAGATCCAGGGGGCATGCTAAAGGATTTATGTAAACTTTATAATTAATTATGTCAGAAACTCTTAGGAGGATATTTGTTATGGAAACTGAGACCAAGAAACTTAACACAGTTTAGTTTGACAGATATTAATACCTCCCCTTATTTGTTCTTTACCCAGATTGGTTAGCTGAAGGAAAACAGATTGGAGAGAGCCCTAACCAAGCTCAGTTTTGGGATATACAGCTCATGGGATTCCATTCTTTGAATAGCACACAACACAGGATAAGTCCACCAGGAGTTACTTCCAGATAGGTCACAATTTTATAACTCTCATAGTTTGGTCTAGAATCATGATTACTTTGGAAAAGTATTCTTTCTTGTTGAGTGAGAATTGAAAAAGCTTTTCTCTCCATGAAACCTGAGACTGAATCTACTTGAAGTGACCTTTCAGTGATGGACTTAAAACTTTTATTTTCCAAGATAGTTCCAACACAATCTGTTTTCTCACTTAAGGTTTCACAAATTTGTCTAAAATGTGCGGCATTCTGAAGGCAAATAACAGTAGGGTCCAGATATAAACACTGAAAATGTTCTTTTTGTGTTTTCTCTTTCAGGGAATAAGTGGTATTTTTAATGTCGCCCTTGGATTACTAAAGGTACATGTCCCTTCATGAGCTAAGTTAGTTTTAGTTTCATTCTAAGCTTTCACAGTGCTCTAATGTTTTCCCTAACAGGGAATACATGCAGGAGACTCTGCAAAGACTGCGAAGTGTCTTCTGGGAGTTTTTAAAAGTGCTGGGATTATAAAATACTTCTTATGCATCTTCATAGCCAACCTGTTTTCTATATGTAGTAGTACTTTCTTAATTTCTTCAAGACTTCCAGGGATGACCTTCTATTGACGGACTTTGAAGGTGCCTTGAAGTTCTTCAGGGTTCAGCTTCCTAAAAGATACCGCTCAGAAGAAAATGCAAAAAAACTAATGGAATTAGCTTGTAACATGAAGGTAAAATAATTTTTGCATTATTTAAGATTTTTTTCAGTTAATAGCTCACATTTCTCAGTAAGCCATTAGCACTAATAATATTGCAAGTGATAATATAGATTGAGTAGCCCCTGTCCCAACTGTTTGCATCCAGAAGTGTTCAGGATTTCACTTTATTTCATTTTGGTATGTTTGCATATTATATAATGAGGTATCTTTGGGGTGGAGCCCAAGCTTAAGGCCCACATTCATTTATATTTAATATACACCTTATACACACAGCCCAAAGGTCATTTTCTACAGTTTTTTTAGTGTGCCTATGTTTTGGCTGTGGCACATTATGAGGTCAGGTGTGACATGTCTGCACTTCATAAGTTTCAGAGTTTACAGCATTTAGGAACTCAGGATTTTCAGATTAGGAATGCACAACCTACAATAATAATTATGTTTTCTTTTATATTACTCTTATTTTTTCTTTCCACAATAGTTTCATATACAGTAAGCCCTTTGTATCTGTGGATTCAACCAACCTGGGATTGAAGATAATTGGGAAAAAAAAATGCATCTGTGCTGAACATATATAAACTTTTTTTTGTTATTATTCCTTAAACAATACAGTTTAATAACTATTTACATAGCACTTGCATTGTATTGGGTATTATTTGTAATCTAGAGGTAATTTAAAATATGTTCACGTTATATGCAAATACATTTTATTGAAAAACTTGAGCTTCATCTGATTTTGGTATCTGATGGGGGTTTTGGAACCAGTTCCTTATGGATACCAAGGGATGACTATATATTATATCCTGTGACTATATCTTAAATCTCATAATCCCTACCCCTGAACTGTAGGAAAAGTATTATCCTGATTTTAAGACAAATAAAAACACAAAGAAGCTGTAGCCCCCTTAAGCATGCTGCTAGTTACTGACAGAACTTAGCTTTCGTGATTTCTACTATGCTTTCCTTAACTTCCAACATTTGTTGTATGATCAGAAATTCCCTAAAAGTAATAGTTTTATCACTTTGTATGGCATTTATGACTTTTACAATTGTTTTAAGGTAAAAAGATATATTAACTCACTGTTCATGTTGGAATAAAAGTAGAGGAAGATAATTGAAAGTGTTTGGTTTTGAATTTTGGGGTAGAAGCAAGAGGAGAGGGCAGAATAAATCATTATGTTTAGATTCATATAGGGTACATAAGAGATTGTTATGTTCACTTTATATGGCTCCCGAGAGTAGAAGTAGGATCAGTATGTCAAGAGAAATGTAGTGGTGATAAATTTCTGTCTACAAAATAAAACGGGGACATGGCCTTGTCTCAATTCAGAGTTTCCTCACCTGTTTATAGCTCCATACCCTCATCTGTAAAGTAATATTGGAATTCTATTTAAATATCAAACTGAGCTAACTCAGACTAGCCTTCTTATAACACACAGGCTAAATAAAGTATAACCCAAGAATGTTCCAGTACCCAGATGAACTTGAAATGAAGATCTGCAAGTGTCTGAAAGAAAGTAGCTCAAAGCTGGTACTCAAAAGTAGCTCATAACGGATCCCCGTGCATCCCAGGGGAATGCAGAAGCACGTTTAGTTATTAGGGTTCTAATGCACACACACAACATACATAGTAGACATGATGTGGGACCTTCAGGGGGCAGCTGAAACTGAGACCTCTGCATTTAGCTAAGACTTTGGAATGGCTTTCTGCCCTGTAAAAGGAAGAATACAAAGCTATTTACCTGAGAAACAATAGAAATATAAAATGGGGAATTTGAAAACAAAAGGAAAAAGAACTAGAAATTAATCCTTAAAGTTTCCATTCAAATTAAAATATTACACACTTCTCAAGTATCATGGCTAACATTTAATAATAGTTTGCTGTATGCCAGGTACTATAGTTAAGGACTTGTATATTTTAGAATTAGCTACAATATCATATGTACATTGCTTAACATAGCACCTGGAAACTAGAAAGGGTTCAAAAACTAATTGCTATAACTATTTCTTCTGTAGGTTTTCAAGCAGTTATCAGACACTTTCCACAATAATATCTCCACTGTCTCCTCTAGTAATTTTGATACCTTTTCTTTGCTCTTTCCAGCTATAATTATATCATCTACATATGACAGTACTAAGCATTCATCTGGGATCTTTAATTTGTCTAGTGACCACTGTAGTATCACATGTGCTATGATGGGGCTGTTCTTACATCCCTGTGGCAATCTTTTAAATTGATATTGTGTATTATTCCAGGTAAAAGTGGTCATCTCTCTAGATTTAGGGTGCAATGGTAAGGCAAAGATCACATCAGATAAGTCCACTGATGCAAACCATGTATATGCTACCTTCTGTATTCTATAAAATAAGTCTTGTACATCTGGTAAATTACCAGGCATTGCAGGTGAAAGCTCATTAATTTTCCTGAAGGCCACAGTGAATCTATAGGTGCCATTTGGTTTCTTAACTGGTCAGACTGGGCTGTTAAAATTAAAGGACTGTGTCCTTTCAGTGACTCCTTCATTTATCAGGGTGTTTATGCATGCTATCACTTCATCATGTCCTCCCTTCAATGGATATTATTTAGTAAAGGAAGGTTGTATTTCTGGCAGTAGTATTGGCTCTACTTTTACCTCTGCCAGATTTATTTGTAACATTTTATTTTTCTTTAAAGGTAGCCATGCACCAAATATTTGTGGAATAACATCCATTCCTAGCAAATCTGTTGGTGCAGACATAAAAACTGCATTTATTTCTGTAGGCTCTCTATCATACACTAGTATTCTTACTGGGCATCTATAAGCAATATTTACAGCATTTACTCCCTGTATCTGTATAGGATCCTGTTGTTTGGGGCAAGGCACTGATGTAATAATTGTGACCTCACTTCCTGTATCAATTAAAAATGTTAGGAAGTGTGTCTGTCCATTGACAAGCACTGGTAGTTGGATGTGACGTCTGTGGTTTCTGTGGTGGCTGGCCCAATAACCTTGGACCCCATGAGTGTGTTTCCAGCCTTGGGCCTCTGCTCATGTTTGGGTCCCCAAAAGGTCTGATATCCCTCATCACTTGTCCCCATCTGTTCCATCCTGGCCTTCTTTGTTGTATTTGGCCCCTGTAGGGGCTTCCCCCATTTTTTGGAAACGGGGGTCTGTATGTACCCTGTGGTTGGGGTCTGGTTGGGAAATTCTGTCTCTGTCTGCAGCAACATTCCCTTCTAGGCCTACCACACCTGAAGCACGTTGGTACTTCAGTTATAAAGGTGGTAAGCTGTTTTGGTGGCCATTTAGCTTCTCTTTTCTACCGGTAAGGACAGTACCTTGCATTTTTCTAAGTTTCTCACTTCCTTAATAAAGTCTGTGATGTCCTGTAAAGTTTCTGCCTGCACTAAGGCTATTGTTAGGGTCATTTTTAAATGTGCTGGAGCTCCATTTATAATTTTCTTCTTCATGTCTCTCGAGACTGGTGCCCCCAATGGTGTCTTAGTTTCGGGGTGATAAACTTTTTATAAAATCCCTACCTTCCTTACCAGTTTTATGGCCTCATCTAAATTCCTCCACTGAACTGCCTCTGCCTCTACTGAGGACATATCCATATCTGGTACTGTATTCCTCCACGCCTCTGTTATCCAGGCAAACAAGGTCCTGGTGGCCTCTGGGCACGCTTCCAGAGCCATCAGTAGTCCCTCGTGTATGTGGGGGTTTTCTATCATACCTGCCAGCTGTCTCATTTCAGCTGCCAATATTTCTACTGTTTTGGCTCCATTAGACCATATTCTTTCTACGTAGGTTACATCTTTCTGTCCTCTCTGGGCAAATTCTGTTCTATATTGTTGCAATTCAGTTCTTGTCAGAGATCTCTTTTCTATTACCGTGGTCTCCTCTCCTGACTCCTCATGCCCTTTTACAGGTATGTAAGTCACTTTTGAGTTGTTGCTGAGCGTGCCTCAATGAAGGGGTTATTTTTGCCTAGGACCTTATTGACCAGTTGTTTTCCCCTTCTTTGATCAATATCTATGTCATCTATTATTTTGCACAGTATTGCTGTTATCTCTTCCTTTTGGGCCCTTTGCACTATGGGGTTTACAATGTATGGGTCTGCTAGAGGAATAGTTATATCTGTTCCCTTAGGATAATCGTTAAATTTTTCCTGTGTTAGCATTTCTGTCTCCTTCCAAGGGGACCCTGGCTCTTTCTCCACTCTGGTCTTATTTTTACCCCATTTCCTTTTCAGCTTCTCCCATACTTTACTCCTGGCAGTTGCCATGACCTAGGCTTCAGGTTCCCACCAGGTGGCTAGGGTAAATATTCTCTTAATGAGCACCTTCCTTAGGTACCAGCGAGTGCATCCGGCCATGCTTAGTTCCTGAATTCGTTTGTCTAATAGCAAGTCTCCAATTCTATACAATCTTTTAGCTATCCACTGTCTCATAGCCACTTGGCGTTTTTCATCGGGGGTGAGTTCTAAAATCCCTCCGAGAGAATCTCAGCGTTGGGGGCTCCCTTCGCTCAGGAGCAAGGGATGGCCTTCACCCAAGTTACCCACTCTTCCCCAACCGAGGCTGGGTTGGCTTCGTATGGGTGGTAGGCCTAGGTACGCAGGAGAGAAGGACACACCTGAGTTACCTGGCTCTTCCCCAACCAGGGCTGGGTTGGCTTTGTACAGGTGATTGGTCAAGGTTTCTGCTCTCTGCACCCTTCCTTGTTCCTTTGCTCACGTGCCTCCAGTGCCTCAATCAGTTCCCAGGCCAAGATTTGTTTCCGGATCTCCCTTTCTTGTGCTAGGTTTATAAAAAGCCAAAAAGTCATAATCATGATCCCCTTCACCAAATCCTGCCGACTACGCCAATTGTCGTGAGCACTTATTGGTTCAATTGAGTACAGAGAGACAGTACTCAGGAGACTCTTATTTCAGAGAACAGGGTTTTTATTCAAACTAATTCACACGGCACATTCCTATGGATCCTAATGCCTGTCTCTGCTACCCTAGCCAGCCAGGAGTTACTCAGACCTTCCCCCAAGTCTCACTCACCTGCGACGGCTTCTCAGCATAGCTGCGCGCCAGGGGATCCTCACAGCTGCCTTCACTGCAGGTCCAGTTCATGGTTCACCTGCGGCACCCAATGATCGTCGAAGGGGCACGCTCACAGGCGGCGGCTGCCTCTTTGTCAGGGTCTCAGGGGCACTCCTGACAGCGTGGCCTCCGATAGGCAAGGAGGCGAGCAATGCTTTGGGTTCTGGCCTGAGTTTATATACCCTGTGGTGACCTCACCACTTCTGTTATCCACACTGTCACCTTAAGGTTGGCTTATTAGTATATCAGCTGCCACCTTAGGGTTGGCTTATTAACATATCAACCTGTCACATTCTGGCTTCCTTCTAAGTCCTAACACACACTAGCTAATACTTCTTAATTCAACAGTTTTTCATACTTTAACACAATACAATCCATCAATACAAGAATAGTCTTATATGTGTTCACCACATATGTTCAAGGAGAATGGGTAAAGCACATACCTTAAAAGCAACTGAGGCCAATAGGAAAAGGGGACCAGGAACTAGAGAAAAGGTTAGATCAAAAAGAATTAACCTAGAAGGTAACACACACACACAGGAAATTAATGTGAGTCAACTCCCTGTATGGCTATCCTTATCTCAACCAGCAAAAACACTTGTTCCTTCCTATTATTGCTTATACTCTCTCTTCAACAAAATTAGAGATAAGGGCAAAATAGTTTCTGCCGGGTATTGAGGAGTGGGTGGTAAGGGAGGGGGTGGGGGCAGGGGGGAGAAATGACCCAAGCCTTGTATGCACATATGAATAATAAAACAATAAAATAAATAAATAAATAAAATGAATATCATAATACCAAAAAAAAAAAAAAAAAGGAGAATGGGTTTGCACAGAGCCAATGGAGTTCTGAGACTTTTAGTCATTCTTCCGTCTTACCACTCTTGTGTGTGTGGTTCAGCACACACAATGAGGAGGCCTCTTTTTAGCTCATTATTTCTTTGCCTCCAAAACCTGCTTCTTTCTCAGTGTCCCCATCTCAGTTATCGGCACCAGATTGTTCAGATCAGAACCTTTCCATCACCCCTACCTCCTCTTTTTCATACTCTGCATCTTCACACTATACATCCAAGGCTGTCTTTAAAGTGTATCCTAACTCTGACCACCTCCTTCTTCACTAACATCCTGACTCACCATCATTTCCTGTTTCCACATTTGCCCCCTCCCTGACTTTTCTCCATGTTCACTCCTCAGGCCTTTGCACTGGCTGGTCTTTTTGCTTATAACGTTCTTTTCCTAGTTGTCTGCGTGGCTCCACCTCATCCATTACCAGAGGTCTTCTGTAATTACAGCTTCCTCTAGCCTTTATGCCCTTAATCATCTGCCTGATTTTTCTCCACAAGTGAAGGCTCAGCAGCAGATGAAACTTTAGCTCTTGTTTACTACTGAATCCTTAACACCAAGAATAGGATCTGGCATATAAATACTGATTGAGTGAATAAATGCATAAACATGCTGTCAAATTTCTACGAAATGTGTAAAAAAAATTTAGGCAAGGCTTAAAAATAGCTACCGTACTTGAGAAGCTGAGATTGTGAGAATCGAGGTTCAAGGCCATTCTGGCCAAAACATTTGCGAGACCCCATCTCAACAGAAAAAAAAAAATCTCGGCACACCTGTCATCTTATATACTGCAAGAAGTGTAAAATATGAGGATCTCAGTCCCAGCTAGCCTGGGCAAAAAGGGAAATTGTATCTCCAAAACAACCAGAGCAAAAAGGACTGGGGGCATGACTCAAGTGATAAGAGTACTTTCACAATCATGAAGCCCTGAATTCAAATCCCAGTATTAAAAATGTAAATCATCTAGCTAGAGGTTTTACCTTTGGATTTTCATTAGCTTGTAGTACTTTAATAATATATAAATCCTTTATTTTCATAGTCTAGATTAGAAAAAACATGCCTAGAAAACATATCTAAGAAATAGTTACTTGTGTTGTCATTGTTTGTGTTTTAGCATTATGCTACTGTTTTAATTTCTGATATTTGTGTACAAAGCAAACATGATAACCACTATACTGCAGAAACCTAATTTCTAGTATTTGTATAAGTGTCATAGTACCCTGTGTGGTAAGGCATATACCAAGTATAGAAACTGAGGCTTGTGGAAGTCAAATGACTTACCTAGTAGTACTGGTGGGACAATGACAGGAACCCTAGTAGGTTGCAGGCCTTCTGACTCTGCATTTCCAATGTTTTCCACTCCATTTTATTACATCTTATTGCAGAAGTACAGTATGAGTTAAATTTGGCATGGCAGTATCTGAAATGACCACAAGATGGTGTGTTGCTCAAACGGTCTACATAATCAATGTTTATGAGTCTTCCTTCTCTGTGTATCTTTCTCTGTGCTTATCCTAACTGCCTCTCTCTACTTCTGTCTTTTCTTGTGCCTTTTACTTCTCTTAGTTCTCTCCTTCTCCCTCTTTTTCCTTAAAATCAGATAATTATGAGAGTGAAGTATTTTATTTCTCAAGGAGTTAGACTTTGTCTACTTAATGTAAAATTTCATATATGTCAAGACTCACTTAACTACCCATTGAATTTCTCCCATTGTGAAATAGAAAAATTATTTCCACTGCCAATATAATGTCTATAAAGTAAATTCTCGAAGAGTGTTAGGAAGTGATGTGGTTAGATCCCAGGTGATTCAGGCTCTAAAATCAATGCTTTAGTCATTGTGCTTTGCTGTAAATGAAGGATCATATGAAAGATACAATAATTCCTTGTATATTGGATCCTTTTTGATGATGTTTGTCAGGTGATGATGAGTAATTCAGTCTCTACGTCAGAGTTGAAACATTCTTCACATACTGTAGAATTAGTCCTTATAACTAGACCAGACTTATAGTTTTATTTCCTTGTTTATTCCTACCTTTTAGAACTGAATTTTCTGAGGAAACTTTTCTGAATGCCAGGTGTCCCTTTCTCTGTAATGAATTCCAGATACTGACAGTTGTTGAAAGGGTAGCAGTGGTCCTGCTTTCTTTTTGTAACAAGCTAATCTCCCTTGGCCCTTAACTGTTGGGGCCTCAGATACTAATTTTCTTCTTTTAAAGGAGTTTGAGTTTGAACTATTAGAACAAAAAAGGCTTAAAAATTAAATAGATATTTCAGGTGGTTAAGAGTACAAGCCCTTATCCTGGCTGTGTGTCTGCTAACTGACCCAGAGTAAGTTAGCATAGCAGGGCTATACTCAGAAATAAGATGATGCCTTTAAAAATAGCTGCTGCCCAAATCCCTCAAACCCCAGTGTTTACCTACCCTGTTTTAACCTCCTCTGCTCAGGTATCCAGAATGCTTTCCTAAAGTCAGTTCAAGTCAACAATTACAGGGTTTTGTTTTTGTTTTTTTAGATTTGGAGGTGGTACTGGGGTTTGAACTCAGAACTTCACACTTGCTAGACAGGTGCTCTACACCTGAGCTACTCCTCCAGTCCTTTTTTGCTCTGGTTATTTTGCAGATTTGTATTCCTGTGCTGTCATTGCCTTTTAAATGAAAAGCAGAGTTCCTGCCCCAAGCATTCTTAAACAGGAAGCTGGATATGTCAGACTTCTTTACTTAGCTTCTGTTAATCCTACCAGATTTTAGAGTCTGGGTATCCTTAATGTACCTCTTCTTTCCCAACATCTGCCCATTCAACCCACACAACATGCTTCAATCTGGCCATACAATTACTAACATTCAGTGTGATGCTTCCACTGTACTCCCTGTGACTCCAGCCCAGAAGAGGTTCTAACCTTTCCAATGCATTCTTAAGCTAAGCCTGGTAACCAGCTCCTCTTCTAAAGAACAGCCTTTAGAATCTTGACATTTCTGTGTCATACGGACTTTATTTAAGTGGCTCAATGCAGTACATGTTCAGAGGATTGCTCTGTTTCTTAATTAAGGTCAGAGTGCCAGGTAATAATAATAATTACATGAGCAAGTAATCACTACTATGGTTTATTGAAAAGATCTCACTGTAGGCTAGGCAGTTTTCTGAGTACTCTATGTACATTTTTTTTCATCCTTTGAGCCTTATAACAACCAATCTTGCAAGGACTATTAGAATTTTCACAGGTGGTGAAGCTGAGACTTAGATGAGACAGCTTGCCTTGGCCACATATTAACTTACTTGCAGAACCAGGAAAGGAGCCAAGGTCTGTCTACCCCCAAATCCTGAGCTTGCAGTGAGCAGGCTATATTATCTCACTCCCGCCCAGGTCAGCAGCCACTCACTTTTTGTCTGTGTGGGCCTTAACATCACTGTCTTCTCCAGAGGCTGATCACCAGCTTCTCCAGGGCACATGGCATATATTTTAAGAGAGTACATTATCCAATTTCCATGACAGATTAATGACCAGTGAGTCACCAAGGAGAGGTGTTTTGAACTGAATTAGTGCTTCTATGAAAATATTCCCACTAGCAAGTAACAAATTTCCACCTTTTCCCTAATTCAAGGTTTCTTAACCTAGGACCATGAGTAGGCTCAGGGCATTCATGAGCACTCTGAAATGTTATGTAGAGTGTTTTATTATGGGGGAAGGGGACGGTGACTTCGGTGCTCATAAAGGGGGGGAGCCATGCGCTTAGGAGACTTTCAAAGTGGATCTGTCCGTAACAGTATTAAGAGCCACTGTACTAATTGCAGTGGAGTATAAAGTTGGTTTACCTAAATAACAAACCCAGTCTTATCCCAGGAGTTTGACAGGGCTCCTTGCTGCTGAAAGTACATCTAAACAGAACAAGGATTGAATTTCCAATGTAATCTTTTTGAGTGCAAAAGTACCTCTTTGTATGAAGCTGTGATTTCCAAAACCTACAGGGTGTGACTCAGAGCTCTGAGGCTGAATTCATAGCTTTTCCTGCTTCCTGAATTCAATTAAAATGTTATTTATATAAGTAAGACAAAATGAGTCTTAGACATTTAAGAGTGGAGACTATGTATGTCTCTCTCTGTTCATTAAGTATTTCCATGCTTACTGTGTGACAGGCATCAAGAATTTCACAACAAATAGAGTTCTTGCTTTCACAGAGTTTGCATATTGGCATCTAGATATGTTTTTGTATCCCTAATACCTTACCAAGAACACTGTACCTAGTAGTACTTAGCCATTGGGTACTTAAATGTCCTTATTGCATCCTTATTAAGTTAACGGAAGGCCTTCAGCTTTGATTCATTCAGCATTTGACTGTTGAGTCCCAACCATATTCCAAGCATTGAGTTAGGCACTGGAGGTTTAGTAGGAAGCAAAACGGAAGTAGCCTGTTTCTAGTGGGAACTGACAGTGAATTAAAAATCTAAGTTAACTGTGGACTTGGATAGGTGCCATGGGTGAATTGACTTGATGCTATAAGAATATATAAAGAAAGACCTGATCTGACTTGAACTACTACTGTTACTGCTGCCGCTGGCATGTATTCCAAGTTCTGGAACTAACTGACTCTTGTATGCAAACCACCCACACTCTAAAAGTCGGCATCATCTATGAGCCAGTGGTGGTGCTATTTATGTTGTGTTTGTGGTGGGAGTGGGGATTAAGGCATTTGAAGGGGAAAGAGAACAAACGAGTCTAAAGGATGGAAAGAGACTGAGCTGATGGAGAAGTAAGAAGTCTGAAATAGCAAGCTCCAGGTAAAACCAGAGCACTTTGCATTTCTAGTCCTGAGAGGTGACCTCTGGGTACTGATTAAGGCAAGACCATCATCTAGAGAACAGGGAGAGCTGTCTTAGCCCATAGTAAGAGAATTATTTTTAAATTGCATTTCTAATTGTAAAGATAATTTGTGATCAATGCAGAAACTTAAAACATGGGAAAAGCAAAAAGAAATAACTACGTTACCACCAAAATATAGGAACCAAATGAGATGGTATATGTAAAGTCTACATTTATCAAGTATGCATCAGACACAAACTATTGAAAGTTAACAATTTTTCAGTGAGAATAAGGCAGTTTTAATCAGGGTTAATAAAATGTCAAAAATTACTGGGTAGTTGGCCTTTTGAAACATATATTTCTGGGGGAAATGTTAATTATTCCTAACCCCCACTTAAGACTGAGAATTGAAATATCCTGAAGATTTGTGAAAATGTTTAATAAGATTTGGTGTCAGTTCTTTTAAAAAAAAAAGTGGAAGCCTCATATCCACTGCCCTCCTTTCTCCTTTACTCAACTGCAAAGAGCACTGGGAGGAAGAGTTTACTACCCACAAGCCTCATTTATTTTCTGTTCCTCTACTGTCAATCTGATAGGATTATTTATAATTTTACTGATTACAGAGACATTTTATTTAGGTGCTTTTGTTTGTAAATCACTTAGGTACAGAATTAAATTTTATCCCAACATTGACCTGAAACTACAAAAAGCTAGCCTTAGAGATGTCACTCTCTAGCTTATGGCCTAAGTATTTAATGGCTGCCTTTCTTCAGCCAGGCTGTCTTCCTGGCTGCTACTTGGGCAGCAGACAAACTCTAGGAGCAGAGCTCCAAATGAGGCACAGCTGCAAACAGTCCAATAAGAAAGTCTAGTCAGTGAGAGAGGGTCACCAAGGCATTCAATTCAGACAGGAGGGAGCAATACACCAGGGAATGGGACACTCCAACACCAACGTGCTGCAAACATGGGCCCAGCTCACCTCCACCTAGTTGGAGTAGACTACCTCTGCAAGTCCTATTACCTGGACCTAAGGGCCAACAAGCAGATTGGCAAGTCAGCAGTTTAATGCTAATCATTGAACCTTTGAGAAGGAATAAATACTAGCTTTATTGTCACTCTTTAGATTATACATTTCTGTTTTATTGTATCTCATATTTTTTTAATTAATTTAAAGGCTACCATAGAGAATGGGTTAGCAGTTAGAAGAAGGAATCAAGAGAGTTGCATCTTGAAGGTTCACCCTTGTTCAGCAACATTGAAGAAGGACCAGCCAGTAAAGTGAAGAACCCTAGCAGGCAGGAAGAGAGCCAAGAGAATAAGTCAAGGGAGGAAAAATTTCCTAGAAGACAAGTGTTAAAGTATGAAAGTGAAGGGCTTTTTAAAGTTTATTGAGGAGAGGTAGCACTCATGGGAATAGGGGGTAAAAGAGCCACTGCTGACTTTCAAGAGGATCCTTTTTCTAGAAAAGTCAGTAAAAGTCTCATTTAGAGAGATTAGAGAAGGAAGGGCCATAAAGCAGTGGAAGTGAAAAATAGGTCTGTGGTTTGCAGTGATTGGTAAGAAAAGGTGTGAAAGAAAGAGGACAGTACTTTGAAGAGGTTGCAAAGTTGCAGGTGTAAAGCATTTAACAACTGTGCTAATCTGTGCTAAATAAAATGGTATCTTACTATTATTACTACTACTACTAGAGACAAATAGGATCCAAAACTCAAGACTCAGTAGAAGTCTTGGTCTTCAGTGCAGGTGCTGAAGCACTTTGTGTTTTTTCTTAATTTGTACTGTGGCTTATTCTACAGATTAGTCAAAAGAAGTTGAAAAAATATGAGAAAGAATATCACACCATGAGGGAGCAGCAGGCCCAACAAGAAGACCCCATCGAGAGATTTGAGGTTTGTTTATGGCATTCACTTCATACAGTTGTGTCTGTAACTAGCTTTATTGAGTCCTTTTTAAAATTCACTTCTACTGTTTCTAGACTTAAGTGTTAGTTTGAGTTTGCAAATGAGAAATCAGATCTGTTATACTCCAAACCAGCTGCCTGGTTTGTTACAATTCAGTGGCCTTTCCTCACAGTTAATAAGTAGCTGCATGACAAGGTCACTTGAATCAGTTAGGTATTTCTTAGTAGTGATACAAATAAACTCCTTGAGAAACACATTAGAACCAGCCATATCTCTTTAATTCCACAGGAATCAGAAATTTGTTTTTTTGAGAGTTAGCCCTGAATAATTTTCATTTCCATCTGATTTTGGTTTTTTTCTGTTTATAACTGGTTTCTTTTTGCCCTTTAGCGGGAGAATAGGCGCCTACAAGAAGCTAACATGAGGTTGGAACAAGAAAACGATGACTTAGCTCATGAGCTGGTGACCAGCAAGATCGCACTGCGAAAGGACTTGGATAACGTAAGTGTGACAGGTCCAAAGGGAAAGAGCACATGGAAGAACTTGACCTCATCCTTAAGCAGTGAAATCATGGAAATTTAGTGTTTACTCTTCTAGTTACCTTCAGAGCTTCCATCTGGTGAGACAGCTTGCTTGTCAGTAGTGCTTCCTCCTTTCTGACTTCAGGGGCCACCAGTTGGGTCAGATGCTCAGCTCTCCTTACCACACTCTTCCCTAATTGTGCTCCCAGTTCCTGAACTACTTTCCCAAGCAATGTTTGTGTGAGAGACATTTTGGCTAATTCTTTTTTTTTTTTTTTCTTTTTCCTATCTCTGATTTTTATTTATTTTTTCTGAAAAACAGATGTAAGGATATCACGTGAAATATTATGACTGGAAAATATGGTTGCTTGGCCTGCACATTTTTATTATATGAATCCCTGTAGATTTTGGATGGCTTCAATTCTTGCATAATTGTCATTATCAAATACAGAAAAAGAAAAAAGATAACACATGATAGATTCTCGATTCTGCATGAAAAGTGCTAAATGAGCACTAGTTGGCAAGCTTTTCATGATGATTATCATAATGCCAACAGCTTTGACTCATTTTTAGGGGGTAGTGGGGGTACTGGAGTTTGAACTCAGGGCTTGACAGGCAGGTGCACTACCACTTGAGCCACACCCCTGAGTAATTCTTATGTCATCACAATTGGCAGCATTTAATTGTTATAATTCCCTGAACTCACCAATAAGATGAAGATATTTTGTTTTCCTACATATTTTGAGCATGTTAAATAAGCATGAGAATGGAATACAGCTCAATGCCTGAACAATATGTTAGTCTCATCAGTTTCTATTAGCAGATGTTCTGCTTTTCCTTTTCTTTCTTCGTTTCTTCTGATCTTAAAATTTTTGAGATGATGCTTTCCTACAATTCTATACTGTAGGCTTCCCATAGAGGAAGTACAGTCTTATTAATGGCATAGGTCAGGGCTGGCAAACTTCCTGTAAAGGAATAGATAGTAAATGTTTAAGGTTTGTGGCCTATGATCTCTGCTGCCACTGCTTAACTGTGCCATTGATATAAAAGCACTTAAGCACAAGATGTGAATGAGTGAATATGGCTGTTTTCCAGTAAAAGATTATTTACAAAAATAATCTTTTTGGTGCACTGATTTGGCCTATGAACTATAGTTTCCATCCCCTAACTTAGATTTCCCTAGTAGGTTCCTAGGATTATTTTTCTGCTTGTAAGCTCAGGATGTTGAGAGTTTACAAAGATCTCACATTTTATTTATATATATATATGTATATATATATAAAATATACATATATATACATATAATATACAGACACACATATATCTATATTAAACCCCAGAGAGCCCGTGAACTTCAGGAGGTCCTTGACATCCAAAAGTATGTGAAAATTCTGCACAGTAATATAGTTCCTTTGAGCGTTCCTACTTTTATTAGATTCTCAAAGTAGTTCACATATGAAAAACAGAGAAAGCAGTATCTACTGGTTCTTACTAATTTTCTTTAGGAGTAGAATAATGGAATATAAATTTTTGGAGCAACCACCTACTCTTACTTTCAAGCCCACCTTGCACACCCTGTAACATATGGGTAGGGAGAATAATGACTGTGTCACAGGGTACAGGAGGATCTACATGGTTTGGTGTATTTTATTAAAAGCACTAGGAAAAAACAAAAACTCAACCCTCTGTTAGCATTAGGTGGCTGCAGGTAACTGAGAAAGCTTCTGTTTCCAGTTTCTGTGAGGAGAGTATGTCAAGATAATTAGCGTTAGATAACCACAACCTGGGATCTCACTGACTTTCCACCATGATCTGCTTGTCAGGGTTGAGCCTCCTCCTCCTTTGTAGAAACACTGTACAAGCATTCTCTCACTGTCTAGTCATGTTTGCCTAGTTTGAGGAAGGAGGCCATTGATCATGGAGCAGGGACTGCTAGAACAGGGCCAGAGCATATAGCACACAGCCCTCACGGCTGTGAATCATGCAGGAAGGGAATGAAAATAAAGAAAATGAGTCCTAAATGTTACACTAAAATCCCAGGTGGATGTTCCGTTTCAGCTGATAGTTTCCAGTCTGAAGAACCAGTAATAACACTGACACCCACTGGCTTCAGGTAGGTTGTGGACTCTTACATTATTGAAACTTTCCCCTTAACACTGTAAAACGTTTTTCAAGTTGTCTTATCCTAACACAGTAGTCAAAAAATTAGGCTACATTCCTGATATCAAAAGTGGAGAAAAATAATAATAGGCCCTCCTTTTTATTGATGCTCTGCTGCCAGGCATAGTTATAAGCACTTTATTCTAGTATCTCTTATTCTTAACTCAGCCTTGTAAAGACAGCAGCATGAGCCCCCCGCTTTTTTTTTTGCGTGGGATTTGAACTCAGGACTTTGAGCTTGATAGGCAAGCACTCTACTACTTGAGCCACACCTGTAGCCCTTTTTGCTTTTACTTTATTTTTTCAGATAAGTTCCTGTACTTTTACATAGGTCAACCTCAGACTGTAATCCTCCTGTCTCAACTTCCCAAACAGCTGGTATTACAGGCTGGCCACCACACACAGTCCTGAGATTTGATTTTTTTTTTTTTAACACTTATGAGACTTGAGACTCAGAGATGGGAAGGCACCTAGAAAGAAGCATAGCCAAGAATCTAGCTCAGGCCCATCTAACTGGAATGTCCGGGATCTGTTGATGTCTTAATCTCATTGCAAGCAGAAGTTGAGGAAAACTGGTGATTCTGATACATCATAGCTAACATTTCTTCAACATTTATAAGTGCTAGTCACTGTTCCAAGTGCTTTGTATATACTGTCATACTGAATCCTCAAAACTTCCCAGGCTATTCAGGGATATTCATTTTATTTCCCATATTACTGATTTGAGGAAACTAAGGCAAAAAAGAGATTAAATACCTTACATTGGTTATGCAGCCAGTCAGAGGCAGGGCCCTTACACTGAAACCCAGATGGTCTGACACTGTTCACACTGCCAGTGGAAGAATGGGGGCCGTGCAAAATGGGGTTCGGGAGCACCCTCCAGCGTATGCAGTGCTGAGGAGAAGTCCTCTTCCACATTAGCCTTCTCTGTAGTTTCTTTGCAATCATCACTGAAAGTCAGCCAGGGCACCCTCATCCTGTTTCAGCTTAAGAGACTCAAGGTTTTGAAAGAACTTCATTCCTTTCAGCTCTCTCCTTGCATCCCACAGAAAAGCTCTAGTGTTAGACTACATATGTTTCCAGAACCCTCTTTGTATTCCCAATTGACTTAACATTACTTTTGTTATTTGTTAACTCTTTTGCTGTTCTTCACACAGCAGCTATTGAACAATTTCAAGTTAATCTCTAGGTGACCTCTGGCAGGGGACCCCAGAGGGGGTCCCTCTGTGGAATGAGGTAATGACTGGGACTGACACTGGTGCTGAAAAGATAAGAGGGAACCTAGAGAAGGTCCCTGGCACAGGGTTAACAGGACCATTTCCAAGTCTCCTCTGGCATGGTTGCAACTCTGCATTGAGGCACTATGACATGAGAGCAAAGGAAACCAATTCAGTAACCTGCCTGCTAAGATCCATAACTTAACAGATCTGTGACCATGAGCAGGCAGCTAAACTTTATCCATTAAATTACCTCGAACCCCTTTATCAAAAATCAGTTGACCCTGTATATATTGGTCTGCTTGATTTTCTATCTGCTCCATCAATCTGTGGGTGACTATCCTTATGCCACATTGTCTAGGTTACTATAGCTTTATAATAAATCATATAATCAGGTCATTTGAGTCCTCCAGTTCTGTTCTTTTTAAAAACCACTTGGCTATTTTTAAGTCCTTTGCATTTCTATATAAATGTTAGAACCAGTTTGTCAGTTTCTAGAAATAAAACCTGGGTTTTTGAGTGGGGTCTTCATGGAATCTGTAGATCAGACTGGAGAGAACTGACATGTAGCAGTAACTAAGCCTCCCAATTCATGAATGTGCAATTTTTTTCCTTATTATGGCATTTTTCAGTTCTGCTCAACAGTGCTTTGTAGTCTTCAATCTTAGATCTGTTTTAATCTATTATAAATGATAATATTTTGATTTTTTTTTTTTTTTTTTTGGCGGAACTGGAGTTTAAACTCAGATCCTCACGCAGGTGATCTACTATTTGGGCCACTCCACCAGTCCTTTTTTGGTGTTGGGTATTTTCAGGGCAGGGTCTCATGAACTATTTGTCCATGCTGGTCTTAAACCACAATCCTCCTGATTCTGCCTCTTGACTAGCTAGGATTAGAGGCGTGAGCTTCAAGTACCCGGCTGGTAGTGTTTTCTTAATTGCATTTTCCAACTGTTTATTTGCTAGTCACTAAAAGCAGTTGATTTTGTGTTGTGACCTTGTATCCTTTAACCTTGCTAAAATCTCTTTATTATTCTAATAGCTTTTTTTGTATATTTCTTAGAATTTTCCACATACACAATCATATCTCTGAATAAGACAGTTTTACTTTCTTTCACATTTTTCTGCTTTTGTTTCTTGCTTCATGGTACTGAGGAGGATTTCAGAACAGTGTTGAATGGGGAAGACGATGGCTTTACCTTGTTCCAGATGAGAGCTAACCACTTTTGCACAAAGTAGGCTGAAAGTTATTCTCTGTTCAAATTTGCTAAGTTTTTGTCGTTATTGGGTGTGGAACTTTTTCAGATACTTTTCCTGCATTTTTGAGTGTTTCTCCTTAATTTCATTAAAATGGTGAAGTAAATTAAAATACAAACCAACCTTGAATTCCTAGGGCAAACTCCAGTTAGATTTCTATTTTTATTGAAGATTATAATTTTTGTTTAATATTTTTATGTTGAAGAGAAATATTTGGAGTTTTCTTTAATGCTTTTGCCCTCATTTTGCTATTGAGGTAATGCTGGTCTCATAGAATAAACTGGGAAGTGTGTTTCCTATTTTCACAAGGACTCTGTGGGATTGTACTGTGATTAAATCCTTAATTCCCTAGTGAAGTCATGGGCCTGGAAATTTCTTTGCAGAAAATTAATTGTGAATTCAATTTCTTTTTAGATAATGAACTCTTCAAATTCTCTAATTCTTCATGTGCCTGTTTTTAAATTTGTGTCAAGTAATTTATCCATTTTCACCTTACATGTTAAGTATATTGATACCAAGTTGGTGTTTCCTTCTTTTAATGTTTACAGAGTCTGTAGTGATCAATGTCCTTCTTCCATTCCAAATTTTGGGTAATTCGTGTCTTTTTCCTTTTCTTCCTCAATCTAATTGGAAGTTTATCAGTTGAGTTAAATTTTTCAAACACAAGTTTTTGGTGTTTTTTCTAGTGTTGGTTTTATTTCACTGATTTCTGCTTTTTATTATTTCCTTCTACTTTATTTGGGTTAATTTGCACTTTTTCTAGCTTCTTAAAAAGAAATAAATTTTCGACCCTTCTTTTCTAAAATATGTATTTAGTTATAAATCTCCATGTAAGCACTATTTTCATAAGGGAGCAGTGTGACAGTTCCTGTATCTGATCATACAGTTACCTGTCTCCTGTCATTCCTTCTTCTTCATGAAGTACCTTTTTTACCATTATGAAATGGTCCAGTTTGTCCCTGGTAATATTGTATGACCACTCCAGTTTTCATGGGACTTCTTTTTCTATCCTTTCACTTTTAATATATCTGTGTCTTTGTTTTGTCCAAAGGGAATTTGTTTTCCTTGTGCAATCTTTAGTTTAACAGCACGTTTGCCTTATTTTATATTTTCATTGCCTTATAAGGTATTCTGTGTCTCCCTCTTCTCCAGAGCTCTCCCCATCAGCTGTCAGCCACCACAGACCCCCACCTACCCCAAGGACCCTTAACTTTTTGAGGTCTTCATGTTCTGTTTTGAACCCTAGTCATAGTATGATGCACGTTTGAGGTTTTTTTTTCTCCCAGAAGCACAGTTCTGCATTTATTGTTTCCAGTGTCTGAAAACAGTTGCTTGATATATTTTTTCCAGTTTTCTGTATACAGTGGGAAGATAAATCTGGACTCTGTTGATCCTTCATGACTGGAAGTAGGAGTCTGGATTTGTGTTTATTATCCCCAGATGTTCTCCCCTTATTTGCTTATGTAAACAGAATGGACTGCAAATGGCATGCCATCAGAAGACCCCAGTTGTGTCAGTCCGGTAGCCTCTCTGCACCTTCACATTGGCACAGTGCTGACTGTGGAAGAGGTAGGATAGATACTGGCTCAGAGTCAGGTGATAATGGTGACTCCAGCTTGTCTATGTGGATTTTGAGAGATCAGGGAAAACACTTCCCATCCTTCCTTCTGCATGAACTGGGGAATCAAGATGGGCAGAGAAGGCTCTTGAGTTAGAAGACCAAGTTCATCACCTGGCTGTTCTGCACATCTCAGAATTAGTCTCAGTATTAATCATCATCTCCCATGGAGTGATGATAAGTACCAGGAGTCACAGAAGCATCAGGCATGTACCCCATGGTAGTGTGCAAGAGATGTCAACTGAGTCCCAGGCAGAAATTCTAGGTCCCATTGACTAAAATAATTTTAACAGGATTTTGTCCTCAATAATTGTGTTTTTGGGGCTGGAGGAGTGGCTCGAGTGGCTCAAGTGGCAGAGCACCTGCCTCGCAAGGTGTGAGGCCCTGAGTTCAAATCCCAGTACCAAAAAAAATTGTGTTTTTGTCTTCATTTCCCTTGTGATTTACTTCTTGGGTTCGAGGTGGAGGAGATGATGAGCTTTCCCCAAGAATAGCCCTCAACTCTAGGATACCCTTTAATTGTGTGCCTGGGTCAGTAATTAATGGCCTTTTGAATGTGCCATTCTTAGTTCCCTATTTAAGATCCCAACTTTGTTCCTCCCAAAGAAGAAGAGTAGAGAAGAAAGTGGGGTCCACCTACACCACTTTAGCTAAGTGATACCAGAAATACTATTTAATTTCAGGGAAGCACCCCTCCATTTCACAGGAGGTTATCTCTTCAGAGCCCAGCCAAAACCCTGTCTATCTGGTCCTTGATTGCCCTCTGACGTGATAGAGAACAGTCATTCTTCAGTTATCCTTGGAGGATATCATTTTCCCTGGGACTCACAGGTCCAGCCACCAGATATTTGCATGTGTTAGAAAAAGACTAGAATGAAACACACCCATTAAAGACAATAAAAAGAAAGTGCCTGGAAAAGGAGTGCCTCCTTTACTGGGTGAGTAATAAGAACAAAATAGAAGACTTGTTGGATGAAGCAGAGGAAATACAGTTTGGAAGACGAAAACCAGAGCTTATTACTATTATTAAAAATGAAAGCTACCTATATTTACTATATTCTAGACACTGCGTTGAATGATTTTCAAGCTTTGTCCCACAGATGAAGAGCCTGAAATTTAGAAAAGGTCTCAGTGTCTTATCCAAGTGGCACATGGTCAGTGAACAATGGGAGTTGAACCCAAAGCTAAACCCCTGACCACTGCCCTGCACCACTTCCTTCCAGGGGATGAGGGAACAGCATTCCCTTGTTTGGGTCAGTTTGCCCATGCAATTTAAGCTCCTTTTAGTTCTCAGCTGTTGCTTTCTACCAGCATGTTCTTAACGTTTCAGGCTGAGGAAAAGGCAGATGCATTGAATAAGGAGCTACTGATGACCAAACAGAAGCTGATTGATGCAGAAGAAGAGAAGAGACGGTTGGAAGAAGAGTCTGCTCAGGTGAAGGGAACCTTGCTCTCTCCCAGACTTCCCAGAGTCTTGCAAGTGCTAGCATGTTGAAAGTTCAGCTGGTGGTGTCCTGTTGCACCAGGGACTCTGGGGACAACTGACTTTAATTTCCTTCCAAAGGCCTTTTTTATTTACTTTGTAAAGCATAGTGGTTCTTTAATTATTAAGTCTAGGAGGAGACAGTAGGTCAGAGCCCACCGTTGGTTGGGGCAGGAAAAATTCCTGGTGTTGAAATTCAGCATGGAGTATAGCGAAAAATTAACATTTCTGCAGAGGGAGTAGGCACACCAGTCATAGACTGTCAGCAACCCAGGCTCATCCTCTGTCTCACTTAGAGCACTGTGAGCAGTGCTTCAGTCATAGGCAGAGCTGTGGAGGCCGTGCCTGGAGCAAACCCCTCTCCTCAACCTCCTCAGTCCTCCAGGATGGGCATGCCTGCTTGCCTCAGGTGAACTGTGACCAAGCATTGTCCACAAAACCATGTGGTGCTGAGCACTGCTGTGGCCTCTTGGCTCTTCATTCTGCTTGGCCTATGCTGGCTCCTCTGCTAAGGCCACAGCTTGGGTGGTTGCACTGGCACAGGAGAACTACAGAGAAGCCCATTGGAGATCGGTTTGGCATTTTCAGAAATGTTTCTGTTCTCCCCTCTCCTAGCCTCAAGAATGGTATGAGTGCTACTAAGGGTGGAAGAAAAGGTGGGGGAATTAGACCCTGGACAATTGGCTGAGGCACTTTTTTGGCATGAAGCAGTTAGTGACAGAGATTCCTTTATTTTTCCCTTAAATTCACTTTTGCTTTTTTTATGTGTGTAGTTAAAGGAAATGTGCCGTCGGGAACTTGACAAGGCAGAATCTGAGATTAAGAAAAACAGTTCCATCATTGGTGACTACAAACAGGTGGGTTCCTGCATCATGGGCTGAGGTGGTACACTGGGGCAGGGATTGTGTGCCCTCTAGCCACAGTGCAAAAGCATGTTGGCTTCAAACCCTGGCTGTCCCCTTAGTCTCATTTGTAAAATAAGAAAACTAAGCCATGTCTTGGAGTATCATTGTGTGTAATATAAAGGATGTGTTGTACAGTGCCTGGCATGGTGCATCTAGTAGGGACTTAATGAATTAAAGCCCCAGTATGTTTCAGGAAACGTTCAAAGTCTAAATGGCTGTAAAGCAGTTCTCTCCAACGCTGGTAGTTTCGAGAACGCGGTTTGATTGATCATGTTCCTTCTCCGTTGGGATCTCATGCTGGCCTGCAAGTCTGGCATGGGTCATTTCCTGCAAGTCTGAGGCTGGCCACAGCTGGAGTAGCCTCTGCTCATGTCAGTATCACAGCTTGTTGGTGCTGCATTAATACCACCTAGCATATTCTAGCTGTTGGTATAGATCTTATCCCAAGACCAAATTATGCAGATGACTACATTGCTCAAAAGATTGTGGTTTTCTGTTCATTTCTTTAGATTTGTTCTCAGTTGAGTGAAAGACTGGAAAAGCAGCAGACAGCTAATAAAGTGGAAATTGAGAAAATTCGGGTAAGACTTCATTTTACACTACCTTGCTCATGTTTTGGCTGTCTTCAGCACAGCAGGTTTTGGGAGAGGTTGTTGATTTCAGACAGAAGCTGCCCGGGGAAGTGGCTCAAGGGGTAGAACTCTTGCCTAACATGTACTAGGCCCTGGATTCAATCTCCCAAAATAAACAAGAAAAGCTAAGGAGTATCTGATTGATAAGGTGCCTGTCACGGCCTGGCCCAGCGATTGACAACTTACTTGTTTTCTGTGGGAGTTCAGAGAAGACCAAAGAGCTCTGGCTTTAGATCCCAAAGTCCAAATTGCCCCCAGATTGTGAACATCATTGGGAAGGCAGTCAGTTTGCTGCATGGCTTCCCCAAGACAGAGTCCAGTAAGTACTAGGTTTTGCTTGAGGTGGGAGTGCAGGGTCAGGTTCATCCACTGTTTCCACATTGTTCTGTATAGACACTTCCCCCCCTAAGCTCTTTCCTTCTGTTTTAGTGGATCCAGAAACAATGAAGACTTTAATTTTTAGTGTGTCACTGCTAGTTTGGGAGTAGGGGGGTATAGCTTGCTGATTTTTTTTTTTTTTTGGCAGTACTGAGTTGTTGGAACTCAAGACCTAGCCCTTGCTAGACAGGCACTCTGCCCCTTGGCCATACCCCCAGCTCAGTGCTTTCTTTACACCTATGTCAGATTTTATAAGCTGAGTAATTTACTAAAAGATGCTTTACTTCTATATTACAACTCAGTGAACAAGAACATAGGAGAGTTCTGTGCTCACAGCCTTGTTTACACAAAGCAGTGTGATACCTGGAACAAGATGACACCAACTTGTATCATAACCAGAAGCACCTATTTTTAAGTATTTATTTTCTGGCTCAAAAACTTATATAAAATTTGGGAAGTGAGTAAATAAGTAAAAAAACCTTTGTACAATTACCTACAGATAACAAAATCTTTGGGGGGAGCAGTACTGGGGATTAAAGCTAGGGTCTCCTAAGCATGTCATATCCCCAAGCCTCTGACATCATCATTATTAACATTTTGGTGTTTAGACATTTCGGTCTTTGTTGTTCCGTGTTTACTCTAACATAAAATTTCATTTATTCAAGATGTGTAGTTTTTAATTTACATTTCAAAATTGGGATGTTTTCTAATTGCTTTTTGTGGCTTAATTTAGAATTTTCTAGAGGAACATAAAATAATGTTTCTTACATTCAGCGACATCCTATTTTGACAAAATAATGGGATATTTTATTTGTAAGCATGTTTTACAAACATTTTTGTGTCCTATCTCTTTAAAGTAGCATTTAAGCATTTTTCCATGTTACAAAAAATCCATCAAAATTCCTTTAGAGCCTGCATATTTCCTTGAATAACCATAGCACAGCATGTTTAATTGTTCTCACTTGTTAGGTGGTTTATTCCCCTCTCTCCTTTTTTACATATCCCCAGTTCCACAGTGAAAATCCTTGAACATAAATCTTTATCACAGCTTAGTCATGGCATCATTTTGTTAGCATGAGTTCCTAAAAGTGCCAGACTGAATCAATATTTTTATTGCTTTTAACATTTCATACCAGGTAGCTTTTCCAGTAGGTTGCCTGCCAGTTTCTAAACAGCCAGGTTTTGGAAGCTGCAAGTGCTAACAGAGATGCCATCTCTCAGATCTCCTCTAGAGAAAGCGCTCACGACATCCTAATGGGCCAGTTTCTGTTCTTTGCCTCTTCACCTCTGATACTCAATTTCAGCAAAAAGTGGATGACTGTGATCGCTGCCGAGAGTTTTTCAACAAAGAAGGACACGTGAAGGGCATCAGCTCAACCATGGAAGTTATGGATGAGGACACAGATGAAGAGAAGGAAACGCTCAAGAACCAGCTGAGAGAGATGGAGCTAGAATTGGCACAAACCAAGCTCCAGTTGGTGGAAGCTGAATGCAAGATCCAGGTAATGCCATTGTCACTTAGGCATGTGCCATGGGCCAGATTCTCTGGTGTGGACTAGAAAAGCCAGAAATGACTTTTCTGGTTTGAGATGTTTTCTCCCCTTTTAAACGTTGACCATAATCCTCATAGGTTAAAAACCAATATTGATATTTGTCAGTATTGGTTAAATCAGTATTTGGCATGCCCTAAGAATTTGGACTGAGATTGTGGATCTTTTTAGTGGGACATAGGACACGTGCTTTAAAATCAAGCTCCACCACTGAACATTTTTTTCTTTTTTGGAGGCACTGGGGTTTGAACTCAGGGCTTGTGCTTGCTAGGCAGGTGCTCTACCAATTGAGCCACACCTTCAGCCCTTTTTGCTTTAGTTATTTTTCAGATAGGGTCTCGTACTTTTTTGCCTGGGCCAGCCTCAGACTGATTTTCCTACCTACACCTCCCTCATAGCTGTCACTGCAGTTTTTCACCAGTACACCCAGCTTGTTCTTTGGGATAGGATCCCCTAACTCTTTTGTCCCAAGTGGCCTCAAACCAACAGTCCTCCTACCTCTGCCTCCCAAGTAGCTGGAATTATAGGTGTGAGCCACCATGCCCAACATCCACCACTGAACTCTTGAACCTGTGTTAGGTAGTAACCTTTCTATACCTCAGGTTCCTGATCTGCAAGTGGAAGTGATGAGAGTGCCAATCTTCTGTCAGGTTCTTTTGAGGACTAAATAAGACAATATGCAGGAATGGCTTACCACAGCAATGGGAACTTGATAAATGTGAACTTTTTTTATTCTAACTCCCATCACTTAGAGCTCTGTGACCTTATACAGCTTAACTATAATTTATCCGAGCTGCCATTCCTAATGAAGAAGGGCGGGCTGATTTTTGCTCATCTTTCTGCTTCACTGCTAGTTCCACCAGTGCCAGCATTGAGCACAAGTAGGCATTGGGCACTGTGTGTGGCAGGAACACAGATCGTGCCCAAAGCTGTGGGCCAGGTTTTCCTTTACTGTTTGTCATAACTGGGCATCTGCTCTTGGTCAGGCCATGTCGTAGGTGCTGGGACTACAAGCTAAGACATGCCTTGCAGGACTGCCCAGGACAATCAGGAACAGCATCACCCAGGCAGTAGTGTCTGAGCTGTGATCAGAGAATGCACAGGGTTTGGAGCTGCAGAAGAGAAAGAACCATCATGAACACCCCTGGCAGAAGATGCTCTGCAGCGGGGCGGCGGGAGACGAGGGGCTGGAGGGTGGGGAGTTTCAGGAAAGTACTTCTGTATAGGAGGGGATGAAGGTAGGTACTAAGGCTGGAACAGAGCATATGGGTGGAGGTTATGAATCATCTCAAATACCATACAAAGAGACTTGGACTTCAAAGGTTTAGCTGGAAATTAATGATGTAATCAGCTAAAGTATCAGGTGTGTGCAGTTGGCCAGAAGAGGGAGACATTAAATTAGGAGGCTGCTTTAATAAATAGACTAGGTAAGAAATGTCTTCCCTAGGAAAGCTCCCAAGTCTCCAGGCATTGCAGACCTTCCTCTGCCAGTTTGGGGACATTTCCAGTGGCCTCTCAAGAATAGACAGAGCTCTTCTCTGAGCTCAGTTCTTGGGAGGACACGGCGCTAATACTGAAACTGAGATCCTCATACACGGTGTTCCTCCTGTAGGATTTGGAGCATCATCTAGGCCTTGCCCTCAATGAGGTGCAGGCAGCCAAGAAGACTTGGTTTAACAGAACACTGAGCTCCATAAAGACGGCAACTGGGGTTCAAGGAAAAGAAACTTGTTAAGAACAGCTGCTGCCTCCAGACACCTGCAGAAAACACACCACCTTTTGTTGCCTTCTGTGGCCAGTTGTGTGATTCTGTGACACATTCCAGGAATGGAATGTCCTAAGATCTGTGACACATGTTGGAGGGTTGCTGGGCCAGAGCTCTGGGTAAGGCTCTCCTCACTACTGACACCAACAGGCCTGCCATCCAGCTGATGTTTGGGACACACACACACCAGAAATCACTCCTCAGTGTGCCACCCAGGCCTTTTCCCATGTAGGTCAACACCTCACCCATCCTGAAGGCTGAGTTTACACAATCAGAGTTTGGGGATACTTCAGTGTGTTGATTTTTTTTTCCTAAAACTTTTTTCTTTTAAATACGTATTTTAGATCTAGATCTAGATCTAAATATATAGGGGGATCAAAAATTAAAAATAATTATCTGTCAGTGCCAGCAAAGGCTCCCCGAGTATACATGGAAAAACACTTTGCTTTAAGTAGGAGGGTTTCATAGTCATAGTGGAAGCCACCTAGTTCTGTTAACCTATACAAGGCACAGGTTTTTGGTTTGGCGTTATTCATGTCTCTGAGCGATTCTATGCGACTCTCATAGCCCTATCATCTTTAGCATTGGCTGCCAAAATGACTTCACAGTACTGGGGTGGGTGAGCAACATGACTGTGAGACTGGCTTAATCATAACATGGACAAATCTTATTTTGCTTCTGTGTCAGGTATCCATACATAATACACACACACACCCCTTTCCCAAAATCCCCATTGACAGTGTTTCACCCCCCCCCCCAGACTAGGACTGCTGAGCTGCACAGCTCCCTTCTGTGGTTACCTGGGCACTTATACTTAAAGGTTGTGGGCTCCATTGTCCTCCCTGCTGTTGTGGGGGATGTGAAGAGCTCCATCACTTTAGGGTTCCTGGTATGATTCCACAACAGGCTGTACAAGTGAGGAAGACGGAGCTGTGTATCTGTGTCATTGTGAGTATGCACATGCTGTGAGGTTCTTGTCCGACTGGCCAGGTCCCTCCCTGACTGGCTGACAGGTCCTCAGCCCTCCCAGAGTGTGGCTGGGTGCGGACCTCACTGTCCAGATGGGCTCTAGGTTCTCACTTCGTAGCTATGGAATGGAGGTTTTAGCACCTTTTTTTTATTATTATTAAATAAATAAAAATTTTGACTCTTAATTTATATAGTGATATGCTGACAGGCTGTTCCACAGGTGGTCATCCTCTGCGTTCCGTGTGGAGGTGGCTGGTTATAAAAGGCATTGGTTTGTATATAAAGACACTCGGGTTGTTTTTTATCTTTTTTTTTTTTCCTGTGGGCTGTACTGATGCTTGCTGAGGTCACCTGTGATAAGGGAGATAACAAGTGGCACCCTTCCCCCAGACCATCCCCTCCAGCCGCTTTCTGTGTCTTTCTTGTTCAGTTACCAAAACAGCTGTAAGCCCATCTAATACTAGGTGTGTGGATATTGTGCTAGGGTAGTTTATGTGTCTTTATGAACTGAAATATAAACCAGTAAAATTGTATTACTATTTCTTTTGTTGGCTTTATTTTAACAGCATACTCATTAAATATTTTGGTACAAACAGCATTGTTTTGTAAAAACCAGTTTTATCATTACATGTTCCTGCCCGCCCTTGCCCAACCTCTGCTACCAGCAGAATCAGAGAGGATCAGCCTCATGCTGGCTTGTGTGTGAACATCAGGTAACACATCCCTTCTGACGCGCCTCTACCCTCTTCAGCCATGAGTGTGGTTTCAGACTATGTGGCAAAGAAAAATACAGGCTCCATCCTTTGGGAAACTGATGCCCCTACTATCATATGTGGCCCTCCCTGAGAAGTACAGTCCTGAGGTGATAAGCAAGACACTTAAGTATATCGGAGATCTTGGGAGGGGGAAGGGTGGAATTGGGCCTGGAAATATACTCTCATCTCATTTGGGACAGAGATGGGAGAGGGAATACTAGAGCCACATGAGAGTGTGTGGCAAAACAGCAACAGAGCCAGAGTGCATGGGCAGATGGATACACTTTTAAAAAACTCTTCACTAGTGGTTCTTCCACATGCCTGCATCACAGGGATGCAGGCCCCAGGCTCTCTGCTGTCCCTTTCTACCCTTTCCCCTCCCTACTTTTCTGAAGCAGGAAGAGTGATGCTTCTGTAACCCTGTGTTTCCCCTCCACATCTGACCTACCCTCCCAGGACTCCCCACCCCCTTTGAACAGTAGCCTGCTGAGACACAGACCATGGCTTCATGCCTGCAAGAAAGGAAGACAGTGGGCCCTGGCCTGTCTTTTCTCCATGCATTGAGGCTGGGGAAGTTTCTAGCCAATCACAGGTACCCTTGCAAAGACCAGGACAGTGGCTCCAGAGCACAGTTAGGATCCCTTCAATGCCCATTGGCTGGAGGGTGTATTTCTAAGGTCCGTATTGCTGGCCAGCCTGCTCCATGCTTTTCCAGGCTCAAAGGTCCCATGTTCAGAAGTGTAGAAACTGCAGAAATCCTCATCCTGTAGCTGTGCCCTGGCCAAAAGAAAAGAGTCCATACACCAGACATCCATCCCTGATTGAGATGGGGAGAGTAACTGTACTGCCTTATGGTAAGTAGCACAGGGGTATACAGGACCCTGTGGCACCACTGAAGTATGTTTGCAAGAGAGACAAAATGGTAGTGGAAAGGAGGAAAGGCAGGGAAAGGAGAAGGCTCAAAAGAAAAGACAAGAGGTAGCAAGCCCAAATCTCCACGTCCATTCTGAAGTCCAAAATCCAGTGGCCAGGAGTGGGCAGTGAGAAGATTTAAGTTAAGGAGACCCCACACAGTACCAAAATAAGCCCAGAACATACACCTATTCTGAACTGACCCGAGAGTTGTGAAAACCAGTGCCTTTATGGAGGGGAGCCTGGTAGGTAGCATGGACCCCTGGTGGCTTGGGAGGAGTCACTTCACTGCTCAGAGATTGTGCTGGATGCTGACACAGATTTTAAGATTCAGTGGGAGGAGGAGAAGGGGGCAGAAGAGGATATAGACAAAGGGCATGAAGCCTTACAGAATGACGACTAAGGCACTCTTTAGAACAACAGGACTGAGCTGTAGGTGCCCTACCCATCTGTCTCATAAGTGAAGAAATTAGGGCTCACAGAAGACCACACAGCTAGAATGTTACCTTGTACCTAACCCCCAAAGCCAGCTGGTATAATCTGCCATGGAAACCATACTGCATGAACATGTGGAACTCAGGGCCAAGACCAAAGCACAACCTGGAATGTGTATCTCACCCCGCATGGGCTCTGTCCAGCCTGTGTCAAGTTTGCTTAGCTGTTGTGGAACTCTGGACTCATCACACATTCCCTCCTTCATTTTCCCCCTCAGGTAGAGAAAGGCAAAGCTGGGGTCAGCACCTGGCTAACTAGGCTGCCTTTTCTTCAGTCCATGCTAGCGGGCTATAAATCCAAAGTGGTGGTAGAGCCTGGTGTCACAACGTGAAGCAACACACCACCCAGTGTTGCCATCCACTTACCTGCAGGCAGTGGTAATAGCTCTGTCCTGTCTCCTCAGCACCTCCCTCTGGGCTCTAGAGGGCCGAGCCTCACTGGTCTCTCCTGCAGGAATCTTCCTGGGCATGGCTGCAGGAGCTTCAGCTTTGGAGTCAAAGTGTTCTGCCTCCCAGCAGCTTTGCCATGGCTTCCTGATTTGTTACATCTAAGTTCTGGCAACCCCTGGGGTGGGTGTGAGGGTCAGGAGTGTGGGTTGTGAGGAGCACCTGGGCATGCTACAGCTTAGAACTCAGCACTCACTGGCACTTCCAACACCTAAGCCAGGTGCCAACTTGAAGGTTCATGGGCAGAAAACTTCTTGCAGAGGAAGTTCTTTAAGGACCACAGCCAGGAGCATGGACTAGGCCCCAGCCCCACTCCCAAGCTGCTGGCCATGTCAGGAGCCTCCATGCCTTTGTGTAAAGAGAAGAACCCGTAAGATGGACTGAGCTAATCTTACTTGAACCTTCTCTTCACTAGAGTGGATCCTGCACAAACAGTCCAGCCCATTGCTATTTAACACAGAAGCTTTTATTTTTTTATTCATCCAAATGGGGAAAATGCAACATATCAGGGCATTACAGACAAACTGCAGCAGCCAGACAAGAGGCTCAGTCTATGGCAGAGTCCAATGCACTCAGCATGAAGGGGCCACAGTGTGGACGCTGCCTGCAGGAGTCGGGGCAGCAGGGTCCCTTTGGATGAAGGCCAGGCATCTCTGGGCGAGGCACTGATGACAGTCCACACATGCAGGCTGCTGCTTCAACACCGATGGTTTAAAGTCCAGAGTCCTACATGTAACCACAGCCCCAGAGGGGTAGGACAATCCATGGTGGCTGTGGTTTCCAATGTTTTTTAACAATACACAACATGAAGTTATTGCCAAAGACTTTGCACAACAAATTATACTATTTACACTTGTGTATTCAGGAAAAAACATTAAATAGATACAGATAGGTATTTTAAATAGACTTCTATTAAACACTAACTTGGCCATCACCAGACCCGAGTGAGCTACAGCCAGAAGTCCAATGTCACGAGTAACCGTGCAATGGGGACAGGTTTTCTACCCACGACACTACACTCAGCTTTCTCCCTGCCTCCTGTGCCCCCACCCTAAGACTGAGGGGCTATAGGTGAGGGGGGCTACATAGGCTGCACCTCCTATCTCCTTCCCATACAGATCTGCTTGAGAAGCAATTTTGCCTAGTCCAACTCCTCCAAGAATGCTGCATACCCTGTAACAGGCAGATCATGGCCACAGTCATACGGCTATGGTACTAATGATGTAAGGCCAGTCCCTTCCCCAGCACCTCCCGTCAAGAGCACCCCTGGGTTCTGGCCCATCAGCTTCACTGTTCCTGGTAGTGCATATGCCCTAATTATGACTATGTCAGGAGACCTATCTTCTGAAAAAGTGGCTGCGCGTCAACTAGTTACTCAACAGACCAGACAGAGGGTCCACAGTGAAAGGCCTGGGTCCAAAGATGCTTTGGGAAACACTGCTAGGTGCTAAAATATATGTCTGCCCGAAAACAGCCAACAAGCAGGAGGTTCCCACCTGGACCACACATGCACTTTGCCTACCTGAGCTCTGATGTGCTGCTTGAAAAAGTTGTCTAGAGCCAGCTCACCAGACAGCCAGAGTGACCCCTGAGAGACAAGTGAGCCCCCTAGGCAGGATGTAAGGATGTCTCCAACTGCTGCCCTACCCAACAGTTTTTACAGCTGAGCTTCTCCACAGTTTAAGCGCCTCCACACAGCCAGGGTGGAGCCACTGCTCAAAAGCTACCATGTGAAATGAGCTAGGGAAAAAGGAGTTCTCAGCATCCCCTTCTTAAGAAGTGGGGTGCAGAGTGACAACTTCCAACAGCATAGTCCAGGGCTTCAGGCCTACATGCATGAAAGGGTAGGATAAAGGATGCATCTTATGGCAGATTTCTGGCTTCATGTTCAGAGTACTTTTGGAATCAGGGCTCACCTTATTACTTCCAAGTCATACCTCACACATGGGCCACCATCACCACCATGGGGGGTCAGAGCTTGTCATTG